CGCCGCACGCAGCGCACCGCGCGCACTCGCCGCACGACCACCGCACGCTCTGCACACAACACCACCATTTATCATTATTTTATTACGCTTTAATAACTTTCAATACTTTACTATACATAACAATTAACCTAGTATTACCTACCAGATAAATTCACTTGATAAATATTAAAATACATCTAATTACTAGACATAATTACAATAATAACAACCAATTTGAATATCTTTAACACAACTATTCTAAGGCTTACTGTAGTTGGCATTGAAACTATCAATATGACATCATCATAGATCAGCTATTACACTTGATAGTCATTAACTTTAGAATTTCATTATATTTTTTACTCTTTTAGACCCTAAGCTAAACCAATTTCCGATATCCTAAAATGCTAATCACTATAACACAGAAAAATGAAGACAACAGTTATAAGATATTCTACATATTGGCCTACCTTCACCACAGTTAAGCTGACATGTTCCAAGAGATCAAGACAGGTGGGATGTGCATAGGACTTGCACTGGTAGCAGCAGATCAGATCCTCTGCGGCCCCCAGGCGATTCCTTGCATCCGTACCGAGGCACTCGGTGCACACTGGTACTCCACCATGACTTTGTTTCTGAAGGTAGTAATACATATCACAGTTACAATAATTTAAATAAAACCATCTAATACAAACATGCATAGGTAAATACATTCCAGAAATGAATAATTCAAGTTCTATTTGATACACTAGAGTAAGAGACAGATTTCAGAGTGTCCATTACATAAAATAGGGATTCATATATTGTTAACATGGGATTTTTGTCATACATTGCATAAATTCCTACACTAAAAGAGCAGAAATAAATTCTTATAGCACTCTGTTTCCCTGAAACATGCAATACCTTTTAATTCCACATAACATAAATGCATGTACTGAAGCACTAAACAAATTTTCATATCTGTATATTATAACAAGTATATAATAACACCAATACAAACAAAGCAGTTAAGCATAACTGGATCATGCATAGTTAAGTAACCATTTACATCACACCTGCTGTAACACCTGTCCAAAAACATTGCTATCTCAATTTTTCCATAGACAATAAAAGGGATAATAGTATACTTTAATACAGATGTTTAGGCTTTGAATATAAGATGATTTAAACCTTTAAGTTGTGACTTGACAACTAAATTGGCAGTTCACAGCTCAATGCAGTGACCATAACTATGTGAACCATTGAGCCTTAACTTGTCTGATAGCTTGGACTCACTGTATACAGTTCGAAGAGCACATTTTGAGCTAAGCTATGAGCCAATTTACTGATCTTCACATGTTAAAATAGAACTCTGGAGAACAACAATTTTAGACAAAGTACCCATAACTAGTGAGAATTTTCAGTAAAACTAACAACATGCATTGTTAATTTGTCTAACCCAGGCCTAAGTTGGCGAACATCTACTAAGATACATATATACAGACAAGTAAGACTAACTGTTAGAAATTGACGAGGTGATGGTGATGATGACAATTCCTCCTCAGAATCCACCTTAATATGGCACCAATGTTAAGACATGTCAAATATAATAAAAAAGAAATGTTATTTGATTCATTCTGCATACAATTTTTTTAGTTTATCCATAACTTATTGAGAATTTTTTATATACATTTTAATAACCAATAGACACAAAAGCCGTAGAATTAGAAAATATAAAATAAATGTAAATAAAATTATTAAAAATGATTCATGTACAGTCAATTAGCATTATTTATACTCAATTTTATGACCAGAAATACAAACCTATTGTCATACTGTTATAGTTATTTAGAAAAGTTAGTTACTGATAGAACAGAGCAGCTTTAACTTTCAGTAAGTTAGAAACCTCATTGACCTAGTTATTCATAAAATATTTACAAGATACAAATTTTGGCAAGAAAAATTTCAGATTTAACATATCTTAATATATCCCATATATCATGGATTTTTAAAATATTCTATTATCTTAAAAACTCGAATAACATTCAAATTGTAAATCTTAATCAAAAAATTTTCAAACATACAATATAAATTTTATTACAATAAAGAAAAAGTTAATATTTCAAGTATTTCATATATATACAAATTTTAATATATGTGTACAATTTCCTCAGATTTGTAGAGGTCGTTAACCTTGAAATTGAACTTGCCATTCATTTTTCAATGAGAAAAAAAATAGCTTTTATTTACAAACAATTACTTGTTTGTTTACAAAATAAAAGATACAGTACCTTATCTGGAGTGTCTGCAAAGGACTTTATTCGTTGCTTATGGGGACGGTCTGTTGAAGTCAAGGGCCTCTCTGTCGCCCTGTAGTTCCCTGCATGGTGCGTTACTAGTCCCCGCGCCACGGCCCGCTTTGCCGCCGCACGTAACACAGTCCTCACATCCGCACCAGAGTCCACAGTCAGCTGGTAAGCTTGTCTCAGATACCTCTCGATGCTCTTCAAACTAGAGCCGTCCCTCTCCCCTAGCTCCCGCACCGCTTTAGCCACTGCCCGCGAAATGTCCACATCAGGCGCGATTCTTAACAACCTACTTTGCAAACCCCCTGGGTCCTTGTACGAGCTTTGCCCCTTATTGTACACCTTCAGAACGGTACCCTCCCTCACTGCCCGCTCCAGGCGCTCGGAGACCACATCCTCGTGATAGTTGTGGTGTTGTCTTATTGCATGACATATTCGCTCCACACTCGGCCTCTGTTTCTGCGACCGTATCTTATGTATCGCCTCGAGTATCCATCGCTTCCACTCGTCTTTCCCTACTTCGTCCGGATCGGTCATCTTTGTCAAATATTATTTCTTAGAGCCGTCTGAGTAACGGTACGGTATTGCTGATCGAGATGTGTCAACACCCATCATATTTTGGCGCCTCGAGCGAAATTCCATTTTACAGAATGGAACCCCGCCGAAAGCTGCCGCGGTGGTCAGCCGCGACGCGAGACGCTAATTTACAGCATATCCGCAAAGCGCTCGCCTGCCGATGACACATCGGGCCTCACAAGCGGGTTTTGGCAGAGCGGGCATACGATGGCGGCCATCTTGTGGCAATCTAAATTTACGTAGTGAACAAATACACGCGACGTAAATAATCCTTTCTCCAACATTAATTACACAAATTCAACAAACTGACACTTTTCACTGTTGCAAAACTATTTATTTTCACAAACGTTAAAATAAGAACATAATGCGACAAGTTTCTTTCCGGTTCCTTTTTTTCACAATGCGTTGACCAAACAAACAACACAATCAAAACACATGCATTTATGAAATGCTATAAGTTACTATTATTTTGTTTTCTATTATATAACACTAATAATCTTTAAATATTGTGAAATTTACTTAAAAACATTCACAAAACACCAACAAAAGGCTCTTCAAAATGGCTATCAATCAGACTCCTTGCTATATGAAAAAAATATTTTGATATCCTGTCGGTCATATCATGTATTGCCATAATTAATTAAAATTAAAAATAATTAAAAATGCTCTGAACAGTCTATGGGTAACCTATGACATATCAAAAACATTTTGTTCCTAGGTAGGTACATATATAGTTTTAATTCATTTGTTAACTGTAAATTCAATTATTAAAGTCGAAATTACCTTCATAAGACCCAAATACCCACGGCAATTAATAAATGCAACTGATCAAATGTTGCTACACAAAGTATTCAACACTTTGGTAATATCTTAAAAAAAGTTTTTGGTGAAATATACCCTTATGTTATCATCCACTTGCACTTATCCCTTACGCAGGGGCGGCACAGTATGTGCTGCTGTGTGTATGTAATTATATACCCGTATGGGCATAACTACGTGCGCAAGTCTGCAGTTCGTGTCTATTACACCCATTCTATGTGATGTTTACTACTGTTGGGAATCGAACCCAAAGACGAGGTATAATATATGATACCCAACTTATATTTATACAGTAGAGCCTCGATAAATCAAACCTCGGTAATATAAAAACCTCTATGACTTCAAAAAATAATATGTTCCCTTTCCATCAGAGCTCAATACCTAGAGTACATAGACCCTTGATAAATTAAAACCTCTATAACTTAAAATATTTTGTGTTTCCCTTGGACTTTAACTTATCGAGGTTCTACTGTATTTTAATAAGATATGTCGGATAATTTGTTTTAAGAGAAGTTAAGGGGTAAAAAAAGAAAAAATACACTAAATATATTTTTATTTCAAAACAAATACAAACATATAAGTACAAACACAACATTGTTACAATAATCTTGATTTTAAGACCTTAAGTTATAATAAACAGGGATAATACAAAATACATAGCAACAATGTTCTACATGCAAACATAAATTTACAACTATCCACAAAATCTTGTACTATGCTGCATTACATAAGAAAAACGATCTCACTTTGTAAGCTAGCTATTTCACTATTTGATTACATAAACATCATTGGAAGACTTACTTCTAATATTGGAATGGGTAAACAAAGGTCTAAAAGAAAACAAAAAGACGTATAGACAAAAAACACGTAAATCGGAACACGTTTGTAGTTTTCAACACCTACATAGACAAAGGTATTTTCTAGAAAACACAAATCTATGATTATGAGACATGAACTAAAGTTGAAAATGTCTTGTTAAGACATCAAACGCAAGGCATTTGCAACTACATTGGATACATCTAATTCTGATCAAAATTAAAGGATTTTTTTATCTGATGATAATTGCAACATAAGACAACTTCTAGTACAATACAACCTCGAGTTATTATATTTTAGAAAAATATATTGCTTCGTTACTTAATTTACATGATTATCAACTTTTTCATTGCTTGTAATTTTCAATTATTATTGAAAATGTATCATTTGATTCAAGATGTAGAAATAAAGGATAATAAATACCATGCCATATGACTTTCTTGAACAATATGTGCAGTGATTGATATGCAGTCAGATCTATTTGTAATACTAAAATTATCATTAATTCGATTTTAACAGTGTTTTAGAAGTGGAGACAGGTAATTTATATATTTACTAATCCAACGAACCAATTTATCTATATTTTATTAATTAAGTAAATTATTTATTTGCATATGATTATATCAGTGCTCTTCTTCTTCTTCTTTTAATGTTTAGTGGACCCCATCGTTATTTCGATGATTTCGCCAACGTCAAGGTTGAAGATAATTGAAAGTATATAAAACGAGACTAAAATTTTGAGTAGCAAAAGTACTCAGATTGTTGACATTTTATGATGCATTGTGTTGCCATATTGGAAACATAAAATTGGCGACATACAATCCAGTCTATGGTTTGTATGTCAATGTCTGACAGCAACTGTCAGTGTATTGAATGTAACATACATTATGAAAACATTCGGTTGTCATATACAAATCGATACTTCATCTATTTTGCACAAAAAATAACTATTTAAATAATGTAAAATATTATTGTATGGTTACATTGAGATTAAACGATTATTGCAATATCAGTCTAGGGTTGCGTTTTACTTTTTACCATCAACATTCTTGAAAGTCATTGTCTCCGCTAAAAGTACAGCCTGAATGTTGTATAACATGTGTTGCACTGTAGATGCCACACTTGACACAAGTGTCATACGGCTTACCGAGGACGAGCTGGCTGAGGAATCCTCCAGTGAACGCATCCCCAGCGCCATTCGTATCCACTATTTGTTCCTTGTCTAATTTCCTCACTGGTATTAAAGTAACTTTGTTACCTTCGACCAGTATGACAGGGTCGCTACCCTGTGTTATAACAACTACCCTTTGTTTAGTGCCGTTTAATTTTGGAAGTGCGGCTATATTCTTAGCGATCTGCTCAGAATTATCGCCCGGTATGTTAAACGCTTTCGCGAAGGCTTCTGCTTCCTGAAATAAGATTAAAATCAGGTCATTTAAAATTTATTGAACTAAATATCGACAAAAATTTCATAGGCGAAGATAGGTTTTAATTATTATTTATGACGAATCAACATAGACGGAAGTAGGTTTTGTAGGGGAAATTGTAAGTATGTTTTTTTAAATTTTTTTAGTTCATTTGCCTACTATCTATACGATACAAAGAAAAACAAAAATGTGTGCTTACAGTTTCATTTCCAAACAGTATGTCTACATATGGTATCATCTTCTCTAGAGGCTCCTTGTAGAACTGCGACACGAATGGCGCGCTCAGATTCATGATGAAAGTCAGCTCACTGTTGTGCGAGTGCTCCGCCAGTCGCATTATCGATTCGGGGGACACCGCCACGAAGAAACCCTGCAATATTTCTTTTAGTTTTAAAACAAACAATCCAAAAAACACGTATGAGTGAGACATTTTAGAATCGAATGTCATTCATTCGGTTAATTCTATAGCCATCTACTTTTATGGAGAGGAACAATAGCATTGTCTATCTGTTTCATTCATTCTTGTGTTATAGATAGAGAGAGTTGAATTTCGTTCACATGAAACCATAGAGAAATAGAGCTGTGTCATTCACTAACCGATGCGTATATAAACTTGGCGGACTGTACGGCAACCCTGCAGGCGTCGGTGTCGAGGTGTGCGGGCGTGAAGCGCTGCGCGGCTGCGAGGTTGGCGCACAGCGAGCGGTGCGTGCCCGTCACCAGCACGCCACATGTGCCCGTAGCCGCCTCGCCACATACTTGGTACAGCACTCGCACACCATCAGCCCTAACAATAGATCACATCTCTCAACAAACTCATAAATGTAACTGTACATCGGTAAAATCGAAACATACATATTTCCTTAGTTAATCTATTCAACTGTCATATTGTATAGCAGACGCGGTCGCCAGTGGTTACGACAAACGACAGTCGCTCGAGACTAATATCGAAGTAGAAATAGACACTTGAAGATAATATGAATAACTACAAAAATACAACCATTTGTATGCTATTACTAGCTAATTATAAATATCAGAAACACAGTAATATTTTTCCTTGAATAAGCATAAAAAAGATAATTAAACCAGTAACCATGAATGGAAAATTAAAATAACTTCTCGATCACTTCAGTCTATGACGCAGTTGATTAAAAAAAATATTCAATCAATAAAGGAAACTCAACTCTAAAACAAGCGCACAAGAGTGATTATCTTTTATAGCAATTAGACTTCGCTATTGAACTTTGTATTTGTGATGCCAATCAATTAATTGAAGCATTTGCCAAATTGATGAAGAATTGTCCAATAACATTTTCTAGTAGCCTGGTCCATTTGCATCATCTCATATATTTACATAATTAATAGTAAATTTTTTTTTATAACACTAGGTGGCAAACGAGCAAGCAGCCACCTGAATCCGCCAAAATGGCGAAGCGACCGCTGCTCATAGACATCCGTGATCGCAGATGCGTTGCCTACCGTTATCCGACGGAGGAAGAGACGCAAAGAGGATATTGCCCTTCCTATGCATCTCCTCCACCTTCAAATCCACTTCCCCTTCCCATCCTGTCCTTATAAGAAAAGGGTGGTAAAGTGAAATGGACTTAAATTAGGCCTCCGAAATAGGAATAGGAATATATTGAAGTAACATTTGCATTTGTAGGTGGAATAGACATAATAAGTGTCTGTTTGCAGTCGCAGTCACGTCAGTGGAGTTAGGGACTAAATTCTTTAGCTAAGAAACAAACAGGAACATACTTTTTATACGGCAATTGGTATTAAACATAAATGGCATTTGAAATGTGGGCTAATTTACACCCACATATCGTGTGGGCAGACATGACGGACAGTTAAGAGACAACCAGACATATCTAATCTTAACCATCATTGAACAAAGATATTGCTGTCACAGATAAGATACAATATTGTACTACAGAATATTGATACAGAGTCGACAAGTATGTTAACACATTCAATGCCGACAAGTCCAGTCCCTTTACTTTAATATTATCAAGTCTTAGTAGCAAATGAGTCATCATCTCCCCCGCCTTATCCTACTCCCGTACGGTCGGCGCACCGGGTTTTCGTCCTCCAACGCATTCTATCATCCGTCATCTCAGTCATCACTCCCTTCTTGATCATGTCACCTTTCACGCAATCTATCCATCACTTTCTAGGTCTACCTCTACCGATGTACCCCTCCACATTCATAACTAATATCCTTCTTGTTACATGCGATTCATCCCTTTTCATAACATGCCCATACCACTCTAACCTTTACTCCTTATTTTCTCAACCACTGGGGCTACTCTCAAACTTCCTCTAATATACTCATTTCGTATCTTATCCAATCGCGTTACCCCACACATCCATCTTAACATTCACATTTCCTCCACATGTATTATCCTTTCATCCGTCCCTTTTACTGCCCAACATTCAGATCCATACATCATGACAGGTCTTACGACGGTTTTGTAAATTCTCCCCTTTATTTTAAGGGGAATATGCGGTTTTATTAGTAGCAAATGAGTGTTAAATGTCTATTGTATTGTTGCACACGTTACGGTTATGAATATGCGAAACTAATAAGAAATACCTTGTTTTAAGTTACGCCGTAATGTAACAAATCGGTTTAATTTATTTGATAAAACCATGAGAATTCTCTGCTCTTACAGAATATCGAAAACATAACAAAATATAACACAGAAGTATTGACATCACATTTTAAAGTGAAAATTCAAGTGTTTCCCGTTGGACCTATCGATATACCGATCGGCCCAACATTTTTTCTGCATTGACTCAATTTACTGTATACATTCGATTGGACCATAGATTCCCTAAAGAGATGATCAATCGGCCCAACGGGAAACATAAAATTGCACTGGCTAAAGTATTATTTACCAGTAAACTGGCAAAGGTAACCAACAGTAAATAAAAATGTTTCAACGAAAATATCGAGAAATATCTTTGAAAAACTATTATTAGCGTTACATTATGATGTAAATTGCATAAGCATTTGAACTGAAATGATAAAACATGTCAGCTGTGATCCCTAACTGATAACATTGGGCCTTATCAAAATGCGTAAGGCAGTTGTATTGTGAATAATATGATAGAACTACTCAATTTACAGATAGTATTGTACAATTTAATAAATATAAGACAGCTTATTGATATTCCAACGAAAGACGTCGGTCGAAAAAAATAATATTTTTTCTCCTGTGGCTTCATTGACAAAACGCGTATTCATTCCCTATCTTTTTATACTCTGTGAAAAAACAGAGACAACGATAATTCGTGTATTAATTAATATTTCAGAATCATTATATTTTGTAAAAAAAATCCTGGTAACAAATTTAAAAAAAGTAAATATAAAAGCAAAATGTATATCAAAAATATGTAACACTTAACAAACAGTACTATATACGAAGATCAAAAAAACTACAAGATTACTTAGCATAGATATCAGTGAAGATAAAATCGACAAGCAATACTAGACTATCGCAACATCACGCCAGATATAAAAACCTGGTATTACTCACATTTTTTTTTTATAATATACGGTGGCAAACGATCCAGCGGCAACCTGAATCCACCGAAATGGAAAGCGACCGATAACCATAAACATCCAAAATTACAGATGCGTTGCCTACCCTTAATTAACGGAGGAGGAGACGCACATATAGAGGACATTTCCCCTTTCTTTTCTTCTTCACTGTCAAACTATACTTCCTACTATACTATATCTTGAGTTAAGATTATTTTAATAACTGTCAAATAACCTTGAACATACGAGTAGACAAACAAGTTTGACTAAACTATCGCACAACAGTTGTGCGATTGTCAATTGTTCGAAATTTAATTGTGTGCACCTCTATACATGCTTATAGGAATCAAAGCAAGACTAAACATTTGTGCGATAGTTTCACATGTGTGGACACTTAAAATGTTTATGCATTATATTTGATTCAGGTAAATATTAAATCAATGCCATTAGAAAGAAATTATATACTCACTCTGCTCTTTCCTTTAGTATCTTAGCGTAGTCATCATCACCAACACAACCGAGGTAGGTACAAACATCAGGTGTACCTAGTATCCATTGTGCTACACGCAATGAGTTCTGCACACTACCACCGGCTATAAACTCCGCATTATATCTGGAATTTTAGATCTGACATTTATAAACATTTAATTAGTAGCTTTTGTGAATATTTTACTATATCTATGACTATTTTCTTTATGACCCTTGTATTTATTATGAAGATAAATTCCTACATTCATTGATGAACATTTCTTACAATATTAGGTGTTATTGTGTTGTGTCATAATATCACCTAGTCTAATCCCCGATTATTCCCAACCGTCAGTCACCCACCCCTGTCCTCAAGTGAGAATAAAAAGTTTCATCCATCCCACCTTTTAGTCCCACTATCACCAATAAAGTGAGATGGAACCGTTATGAAATAAAATAAGTTCCAACCGTCCCCTCGTTGATAAGGTGGCACGGATGAAACTTGTTATTCTCATCTGTCCCCACGAGGGGACAGAGTGGGGTGAAGGTTGGGTATAATCCCTAATCCCACTCACAAGTGATCACCAGATAAGGTTTTGTAAACCAAAATGGTTTTAATTGCTGGCCTCCTGCCAATCACCAAGTATACTTCAGAGAGAAATTAAAATTGAACATTATCATAATATACTAATATTATAAACTGGCCTCTGCTCGCGACTTCAGCCGCGTAAAATTAAAATTTAATACGAATTATTGTTGCTCAAAGATAAATTACCTTTCTAACAGTAAAAGAATTTTTAAAATTGGCTTAGTAACTTTTGAATTATTTCAATACATACAAAGTTACAAATCTATCCTCTTTACAATATTAGTATAAATACGAAAGTGTAGATGGATGGATGGGTGGATGGATGTTTGTTAAGAGTTTGTAGCTTAAACTGCTGAATACACATAGACATAGAGGATAGTCTGGAAGAACACATATACTACTCACTTTTGTTTTTCTTATTTCAATAGGGATGGAGTTGCAGGCAAAAGCTAGTTTTTAAAAAAATAAATTAAAGAATAAATCAAAGAAGAAACTAAATTATAGCTAAGTAAGATAGATATGGTAACATGGACAATGTTATCAGTTACAATACATTAATCAGTTAATTATAAAACACCCATTGTTGTACACCATAAAAAATTGAATGTGAACTCTATCAAACAACTAAAACAAATTAGAATTTTCAGCTTTAAAACTTTCTTAAAACACTATACTGTTACAAATTAATATTGATTTTCATATATACACATTAAAAAATTTGGTGCTTTAGTAACTAATTTGATAAAAAAAAATAAAACCTCCTTTTGGGAAGTTGGTCAAAAAAGACTATCCTTATAACACACCAGCTGTTCGTCACAACATTATCTGTGTGAAGTTAAAAAATAATAAAATGCAGCCTTTGTTACTCACTAATAACATAGCATTTTAATAGCAAAAGAATATTTAAATTAGTTCAGTAGTTTATGAGTTATTCCAAGACATACAAAAGTCCAAAAATACAAATCTTTCCTCTTTATTATATTATGTATAGATACAGATATAGATGACAGTTTTTTAGTTGCTTAATACATTTTTTAATCAATATGTATTATTTCAAGTTGAAAAACACATATAAAAATTACCTTTCCATCAGCTCTTTGTACAATGGCATATGCTTAGCTTCTGCCATAATAGCATCATCAGGGTGCAAGTCATACTTCTTTAATAACTCCTCATCCACAATAGCAGAGATGTCCAGGAGGGGATTACCAATGCCCAACAGAAGCCCTTTCATATCCCCTTTGTTGCTACAATTATAAAGAAATTTATTACATACACTAGTCCTATGGCTCCAAAATAATATTACATATTTATTTCTATCAGATAAAAATACTAATCTATGTCTAAGTTACTATTAAAATACTAGAGGAAGTTATTATAATCCAAAATTTCGCTCACCTAGATTTATCCATTATGTAATTTTAAATAATGAACAATTAAAATAAGATTAAAAACTTTGTGAGATTCAAGTTAAATCAGTTATTAATAAATCGAAATAGTTATCAAACGAAGTTGCACCGCATGTTTGGTTAGCCTCGAGAAAACGTGCTCGTACTACTTAAGCGAACGAAAGAATAATTTAAAATCAAGAATTATTCACATTTTACATTCATTCCTGATTCTTGACTACCATTTGTGTCAACTGTCAGCTGTCAGTGTCAGTAATCCTGTCAAGCAGTCTGATCAAGTGTGGTGTGTTGTGCCTATTTGATTCGATTGTCAGAAGTATGTATCGAGTTTATGGAAATATTAGAACAATGATGATGTTAAAGCAAGAATGTTATAGACTGAGTTCCCATAGCTGGCAGACGGCACTTACATTTACAAGCTTAATTTTTTAATTGTAATGTCATTAGAAAGTACTAGTTTGTACTGTATCTGAATGGGCATGAGTTACAATTACTTATCCTGTCCAATTACGCACTTTCTCGCTATCACGCTCTGAAATTGTATAGATTCATTTGAGTTCACTCATTTTCACATATGTGTTAAAGAACATTGTAAGAATGACTAAATAAATACTACCAGACAATTTTCCAAAAATGTGACTATAGTTTACTTTACTCTACTTTCAAATGCTTAATTTTAATATATTACACTTAGGACCTATGACAGTACTACCTGCAAGCATACAAACGCTCCTGATGGGGCAAATGCACTGTAAACAATTGCTTTATTTTTATATATGACTAGCCGTTGCCCGCGACTTCGTAAGCGTGAAATTTGATAGTTCAAAACCTACGTTCGCCTTTTTTTTAAACCTATTACCAACAGTAGGCGAACGTAAGTTTTGAACTTTAAAACTCCACACGGGCATAGTCGTAGGCAACAGCTAGTATTAGTATAAAAGTATATATGAACGAAAGACTATAGGAATACCCCCAGGAAACAGCAAGACACTTTGATTTTGGCAAACAGCCTACATGGAGCCATTTTTCATTTTGGAAATTCCAGTAAGAACTTAATATTCTTCTGAAGATATAACACGTGGTTTTGTTTGTTAATTTTATTGTCATTAGTATAACGCCGTAATCTAACAACTCGTTATTGCTAAAACTGGTGCTACACCTTTACATACCAAATTTGTGTTCAAGATGAAAGAATTGCAAAAGAAATTAGGAATTTTTGCTCACTGGTAACCCTAAAAAATCGAAGGTACAATTTGTCTACAGTTCGCTATTCAGTTAGCAGTTATCGTTAACCGTTATTTTCGGTAACGAATCGAACGCTAGATTTTACATATTTCGTTTGTTACATAATCTGTACAGAGGTTTTATTATAACCTATAACCGGCAAGGAAGATCACATTGTGCTTGTGCGGACTCTTTGGAGAATATTCGAGAAATAAAAAGCTCGAATACTTTTGTGTTTTAAAAAATCATTCCAAATAGTTTAACAAAATGCTTCGTTTGCCTCGCGTTGCTCGTCAAACCATTGCCCTACACAAAAATCATCAAATATCAAGATTTTACGCGAAAGATGTGAGGTTCGGGGCTGATGTAAGAGCTCTCATGCTTCAGGGCGTCGATATTCTAGCCGATGCTGTAGCCGTCACAATGGGCCCAAAAGGTAGGAATGTTATTTTAGAACAGTCCTGGGGTGCACCTAAAATCACCAAAGACGGAGTCACAGTTGCAAAGGGCGTAGAACTTAAAGACAAATTCCAGAATATTGGAGCTAAGTTGGTTCAAAACGTGGCTAATAACACAAACGAGGAAGCCGGTGACGGCACCACGACGGCGACAGTTTTAGCGCGTGCTATCGCAAAGGAGGGTTTCGAGAAAATTTCGAAAGGCGCTAATCCCATAGAGATTAGACGGGGTGTTATGATGGCCGTTGATGCCGTGAAAGACAAGTTAAAGACTATGTCTAAGCCGGTAACCACGCCGGAAGAGATTGCGCAGGTAGCCACAATCTCCGCCAATGGGGACACGGCAATCGGCAAGTTGATTGCTGATGCCATGAACAAAGTAGGCCGCGACGGAGTCATAACCGTGAAGGATGGTAAAACGTTGACTGATGAACTGGAAATCATTGAAGGTATGAAATTCGATAGAGGTTATATTTCACCATATTTCATTAACTCCTCAAAAGGAGCAAAGGTAGAGTTCCAAGATGCTTTAATTTTGTTCTCTGAGAAAAAAATTAGCAATGTTCAAACAATAATCCCAGCCCTGGAGCTTGCTAACCAACAAAGGAAGCCTCTCATCATTGTTGCTGAGGATGTCGATGGTGAGGCTCTATCCACCCTTGTAGTGAACAGGTTGAAGATTGGTCTGCAAGTCGCAGCGGTTAAAGCTCCAGGTTTTGGTGACAATCGTAAGGCCACCCTTAGTGACATGGCCATTGCTACAGGTGGTGTTGTGTTTGGTGATGATGCTAACCTTATTAAGCTGGAAGATGTACAGCCTTCAGATTTAGGTCAAGTTGGTGAGGTTATTATCACAAAAGATGATACACTGCTCCTAAAAGGTAAGGGTAAGAAGAATGATATTGAGAGTCGAGCAGAGCAAATTCGTGACCAAATTCAAGAAACCACATCAGAATATGAGAAAGAAAAACTTCAGGAAAGACTTGCTAGACTGGCATCTGGAGTTGCTGTTTTAAGAGTTGGTGGCTCAAGTGAGGTGGAGGTCAATGAGAAGAAGGACCGTGTCAATGATGCCTTGAATGCTACTCGTGCTGCAGTTGAAGAGGGCATTGTTCCTGGTGGTGGTTCAGCACTTCTTAGATGCATTCCGACTCTCACTGACCTTAAAACTGCAAACAGTGACCAAGCAACTGGAGTAGAAATTATCAAAAAAGCTCTCAGAATGCCATGCATGACTATTGCAAGAAATGCTGGTATTGATGGATCTGTTGTAGTTGCTAAAGTAGAGGACTTAGGCCCTGAGTTTGGTTATGATGCCCTGAACAATGAATATGTTAACATGATTGAGAAGGGAATCATTGACCCAACCAAAGTAGTTAGAACCGCACTCACAGATGCTAGTGGTGTGGCATCTCTGCTCACAACTGCTGAAGCTGTGATCTGTGAAATTCCACAGGAGAAGGAACCAAACCCAATGGCGGGTATGGGAGGCATGGGTGGAATGGGAGGTATGGGGGGGATGATGTAATCCGGTCACAAAGACTCCACAGTGCATTTACATAGTGTAAAGAGAACTATTTAGTTATGCCACCTGTTAGGATAATGCAATGTAATGGTGAATGATTTATATAATTGTGCAGTGAATGAGAATATTTTTTTTTGTTATGAAGTCTGATTGCATTAGATGTAGAAAGACAGCTGTCTTAGATTTATTTAGTTATAATGTTCGCTTGGTTAAAGAATGGTGTTATTTTTAATAAAGAATGTTTTCAATTTTGTTGTTTTATTGAATGTGTAATTGAAAATATATTTACATTTTTTCTCCTAAAAAAGAAACTCAATATTCGTCAGCTAATTAATTGATGGATATTTATATTCTTTCAACTTTCTGCTTTGAAAAATTAGCAAGTTCCATTTCTATAATGAGTTTTTTACACGAAACTGACTACAATATATCTTGAGTCAAAGTCCATTTATTGGTGTTATGTAACATCAACCAAGTGCTAAACTTACGAAATATGTTCTTTTGTTTTGTTAATTTAAAAGTAAATTCTTTTGCAATACACTTTTAAAAATATGCTCAAATTATTTACGTTAGTAACTTTGTAAAATAAACATATAAAGTTACTCTTGAATTAATTTGTATTGATATAAAACGAGTTGTCGATAATATTATCGTGTACTGGTGAACTGTACATGAAAGTGAAAGGGCAAACGCTAATGCACTAGTAGGTATATAAGGACAATTTAGAACATTGACCCAAACACTTAGCATCGAAACAACCTACACCGCTGCTAAATACAAAATATAAAGTAGGACATGTTTGAATAAGAGATTTCACTCAATTGAATACAAGATAATACATCAGTATATTCAACAAAGTACGGTGCATTTCCACCAACTAAAATTCATTTAGTTTTTGCGTGTGTTTGCTGACGAAACACTTGCACAATAATATTGTCAACTCTCTCTTTCCCATTGAACAAAACAATTTACTTTTGTATAATGGGTACCTATTTAACAGGACAACAATTGTGTTTAATTTTTAAATAAGCAACTGGTAATAATTAGTGTAGACTAGGACTAAAATGGACTTTAAAAATAAAACTAATTAGATTTTAGTTAATGTTTATAATACTTATACAATCTTAAAATTATTACGGCGGTATAATTTTTGTCTTACAATTTTTATAATCTAGAGTAAATAACATGTATTTTAATTAGGTATATTCGTTTCTTCCGAATTTTTATTTATGTACACGTTAAAAATATATTATAAAAAAAGCCAACTTATAACTCATGTTCCCAAAGCGAAGGGAGCATGATGATAAAAGGTTAACAGTTTATAAAAATATCTGATCCTCATCGGAATCACCAGCACCATAAACAAAGTGTCTTCTCACAACATTGTCAGTAACAATTGCACTCTCTATATTGCTATTTTTACAAGGAGTTACAGGATATCTGACTGGTCCTAGCCATTTCCGACTCAGTCCATAATTTCTCGGTAAGGCCACATTTTTAACTGACGAACTCTTCTCAGATTTGTCCAAACTGTTTATCGAGGATTGGATCGATTTCTTCAATAAAATATCACTTTTGCTATCGTCAAGATATTCATCAGGCAAATCCATGTTATTAGGTATACTTAAGCTTAAAGGTCTACGTTTTTGTCTGGTGATTGTCATTTCACCACGCCATGTATTAAATTTTTGTTTATCTTTTTTCTGAGGTGTATTTTCTTGAGAAGAATAATCTGCCAAATCTGACTCCTCATAAACTTTATTTTCTGAATAACATTTTTTTAAGTTAGTTTTATTTGGAGTATTTTGTACACTACCTCTATCTTTCATTCTACTGATCACTTTATCTTTCGTCAGTTTTATTAACGCGTAAATTGTCTTTAAAGCTTCCTCGTTGAGTAGCTCATCATCAGCTAAATCTGCATCTAAAGAGCTGCCGATGTCTTTTAAATTTATTTGACTATTGTTCAATTCTTTATTTGATTCAATAAAAGATTGATAATCTAAATTTGATTGCTTATTAACATTTTGCAAAACTATTAACTCAACAATTTGTGGAGCTGATTGCAACATTGCTAATGCTTTATCGTATTTTAAATTTAATAATGTCTGACCATTAACTGATATAATCTGGTCACCAGGTAACAGTTTTCTACATGATTCTGCAGGACTACCGGATGTGATTGATTTTATATACACATTTCCATCAGAACCCTCAGCTACTTGTAGACCCAATGCATTTGTATCATCTCTTTCAATTACTGCAGTAACAAAAACTCTTTCGCCTTGTACATATTCCATGTTATCCAATTTTTCAAACAGTGATGTATTAAGGCAAGACTCATTAGCCTCCTTGTAATTAAAAACATCAGAATATACTTTTGGTGATTCTAAAACAAATGCTGTTGGTCCAGTACTGACATTTTGACTGTACTGTCTTTCAGGTAATAATTTCATACTGTTCACATTGCAATGATTTTTCGGCTCCAAGCTGAGGTCATCTGAATCACTATGAATGGTACCATCTGATCTCCGACAGTCATTCATGCTTTTGGACATTGGTGTTCGAAGATTACTGGCATCTAGGACTGTTTTCATTCCTGTAAAAACCCGTGTACCCATCTTAACTCCATGCCTTCTTGGTAGACTGCTTTCCGAAGAGGATAGAGCTTCATTTGAGGAACTCGCGTGCCCTATACTTGAGGTATTTAAGAAGCTTTCATTATGCTGTGGTGCTAATATCCTTCGTAACAATTCTTCTGTATCTGGCTTTTCGTTTTCTTTATTTTGTACTTTCTTGTCACCAAATATGTCTACTTTAAATCTTCGTCTCGTAGGTCTGCGAACTCTTGTGGGATTTCTTACTGCTAAATTATAACTGTCTTGATAGTTACTGCAATCTGCTTTCTTTGGGCTGTTACTCGGAGGTGAGCCAATTTCAGCGGATAAATATGTGATAAAATCTTCTTTTGCATACAATTTTAAATACAATCTGTGGTGTAAAGAGGCCAACCAAAATGTAAAGTAACTTTTATTGTCTGTCATTTTAAGTTTGTACTTAATGCCAATTTTAGATAAGCCAGAATATGAGTTAGGCATAATGTACAAACTTTTCTTATTGTAATAGAAAGTATGTATATGGTGCCACGGCAGGCTTTGTAATACTATCCTGTTGGTATTTACTCCGGAATCATCAACTCCTTGACTGTTACGAGAAAATAGTGTTATCCCTCTTGGGGCAATAGACAACCATACATCTCTACAAAATCCATCTCTAGTTGCCCATATTGCTGAATAAAAATGTGCACCATAGTCTCTAAATGTTTGTGCTAATGTTATGTAATTAATAATGGCTTTATTTCTATCTAGACCTCTTCGGGATTCATGGGCTCTCTTCATTTTTAGTTTAACATCAGCCATATCTTCTGTTATAACAGACTCTGGTAAATAATGTTCTAAGAGGAAATAATCAGCCGACCCATGTTCCCTGTAAGAATATTCTCCAAACTCTATATGCAAAGCATACCCCGCTAGTAGAATGAGATTCTGTATGGTAGAAGTCATTTGACCTTCTACTGTTGCCCTCCGCAGTTGAAGATACACCCTGTACCTCCATTCACCTCCTTGAATATTGCTTGCAATACTTTTTGGAAGGAAAAATTTTATTCTTAGAAATACTGTTATTGAGACAATTTCCTCCATTCCTTTGTTTTTCTTATTTGTTTTATGCCAGTGTTCTGGGGCTATCTTTTTAATTTTATAATCATCTGGTAGGAATACAAAATCTCCCCCAATTAAAGTAGCTACACCAAGCATAAAATTGTGTTCATATTTTTCACTGTGGACTACCCCTTCAAATAGCTGACCAGCTGTTATAGTTGCCGGGTCACAGAGCACTTCTATCCTTTGTCCATTTAATAACACAATAGTTATCACTCTTTTATCACACATGGCACTCAGTGTCAAATCTATATGCTTTATTGGTTGGGAAGCTCGCACAATAAATTCTGGACCAATGCAGCCTTCTTTACCTTTTAAACCATCAGCTTTGTAAAGTCTAGAGGCAGCTCTTTGTACAGGTTTCCCCCTTTTGAAATTCGATGAATGTGATATCTGCTTGGCTTTATTAAATTTGCCTTCATCAGAATTAACAGCAGACATAGAAACAGCATTGTTCTGAATTTGTGGATGTTCTATTTGTGTGCTGGTAGCTATATCAAATGTTGAATGGGCATTACTTAGACCTCCAAGCCTGGGTGTATCAAATAGATTAAATACAGCATTTCTATGTGTTTTAGGCATCCGGTAACTAGGAAATGGGTCTCTTTCATCCGGTGAATTCACAAGACCAACATAGCTTCTTGGACGAGTGCTCACTTTCAGGGTTGTGTTGGCAGCAATAGCTTGATTTCGTAAATGTTTTGTTTCTAGTTGCTCTTCAGATTTGAAATGATGATAGTCCATAACAGGGCTGAATGTGATAGAAGCAGCCGAGCAGGAGCTGCGCCCCGAATCTTCATCACAGTTTCGCGGCATCGCACTGCAATTAATAGAAAGTTATAAAGAAATTTATTCAAAGTTAATCTTATTTATAGTGCAATATGACATAATCGTTTTAAAAAGTAAATATTAATAGAACAATACAAAAATGTAGGAAATAATGTGTATTACTATTCAAATTCCTGAACAATGAATAACTGTCTAGGCATTCACTAATAAATTATGCATGTCCTTAAACACGAATCTCAGTAATGTTACAAAAGGAATCAACACGTTAGCAACAAACATTTGTCATTCCTTTAATTGTTAAGAATATAAAGAACATATTTAATATAATATAGTTGATAAATATGTTATTAAAGTGCTAATAAAATACTTACGATTTACAAATTCGTCTTGAAAACGAACAATGGTATCTTTAACATTTGGTCATTCATATTTCGCAGCTACACTTGTCCTGTTGTAAAACATTTATCTTTGTAGTAACTGAGACAAATGCACACATAATTTGAACATTGAAAACACCCTCCCTTTATCTATTGTTACAAAATAAAAATATTTGGTAAATTGTAAATGAAGTTGGTCGTTGCGATCACGAAGATTATAAAATTCCGAACTTTTGGAAGTGGCATAACTGCGGCGGGAGTGGGACTCTTGTTGCATCATAATAATTATGATGCTTATTTTATTTTGATAACATATGATTGGCAAATTTTTTTGCCAAAATAGGATTACATTTAGCATTTTTATTTTCGTTAATTTACGATGTCATTCCAACTTTTAAGCTTGAAAATGCCGCTATCTCTTGTCATGTTTATAATCTGTTAATTTTACAAACCATACGTCAACGCCATGACATTTATGTCAATTTTCTATAATCATTTTATCAATATCCGTCAGCCGTTTGTCTTGTTCTGAAAAAGCGAATGTATTGTTGTTTATTTTCTACGTGGTAACTACAAAGGCGTTAGTCGGTGGATTATTGCGATGTGCTATTGAAAATCAGCGGATATTACTGAATATGGCTACTTTAATTCAATCATACGAACAACAATATTCAGTTCTTACAGCGGACGTTACAGCAAAAATAGGTCGACTTAAAGTCGGAAAGGAAGGTAAGTTGTTTATTAACTAAGAATTAATAAGTAATAAATTGTAAATCCCTATTAAATTATGTAGTCAAATCCATTTACATTTTATAATTACAGAAAACCGTGAGCAATTATCAAGGGAAATTCAAGCTAACTTTGAGGAGGCCAATGATCTGGTAAGTTATCTTATTGTTATTAAAATTAGTACAGAATAAGTATAGTAATTGTACTTTCTATTAAGAAAAAAGTAAGGTAGAAGAACAGTGCTAGAAAACTGTAATCTCTGTACACCATAAGTACTTATTTATTGTTATAGTTGGAGCAGCTGGAACTAGAGTACCGAGGCGCGGGGGCAGGATCGCGCGTGGCAGCATACCGTGCTGAACTGCAGCGGGTTAAAGATGAGTACCGTTCCGTGCTCAGTAACTCGGCTACATGTATGTATTTCCTACCTATTTATATAAAAACTTATTTACTCTACTCTTTAAGGCCCCAATATCATATGGATGGGAATACTGACACTGGCAACATGTTTCTGTCCTTTGTAGTGTGCAAAAGGAACAATGACTGTATTGTTCTGTAAATGATGTGAAAGATTTTCTTTTATTACATAAGGTGGCAAACATGCAAGCAACCATATGAATTTGACAAAATGTGAAGCGACAGCTACCCATAGACATTGGCAAAAGCGGATACATTGCCTATCCTTAATCGACGGAGGAGACACACATAAAGAGGATGTTTTCCTTTTCTATGCCTCTCCTCCACAGTCAAATTTCATTCCCATTAAAATTAAAATAACATGTCTATCTATTTAACATTTAATCTACAAAACTGTTATCTTATAGATAATATAGAAACAGAAGACACATATGACGATTGGAATGTAAATGAGCAACGTCAGAAGCTGTTGGACAATACAGAGCGCTTGGAGCGCTCGGGGAAGAATCTGAATGAGGGTTACCGCGTCATCTTGGAGACAGAGGAGATTGGTGCTGCTGTGCTGCAGGACCTCAGCGTGCAGCGGGAGACCATACAGAGGTCCAGGGGACGGGTGAGTTGAATATTAAATATTTTTAATATTGTAGGATTCATGTAGGATAGAATGACAAAGAACCATTATTAGTAAGCTATAACTTCTACTTCTACACGAGTCAGGGTCAGTTTTATGAGAACCGACGCCTCCTTAACTATCCCCATACAAAAAGTGGCGCCCCTTTATGTCCGGCACCCTTCCCTACCAACGGTATTGACATGAGTAGTTCATATTTTACGAGAGCTCACTATAGATTCTAGACAAAAAAAAGGGTTAGGAGGACCAACAGCTAGTTTTCAATTAAAAATACTATCCATTTTTACACAGAACTGATATTTCCTGTACATAAATTAACTTTTAACAGTACAAACGAATTAAATTTAATGTTACATTTTCTTTTTATAATCTTATCATTGCTTGTTTAAAATTTTTGATTAAATTTCAAGGTATTTTATTTATCAATATAATTGTTAATTAAAAATAAAAGTTAAAGATAGCCGATGAGTTTTTTCAGACTATGGATATTCAGCCATTCCAAAGATACCTTTTAACAAACATCCTAATCCATCTGTAGTGTACATTGCATTGTGCATTGTGGTTTTTACTAGTATTATAAATGTAAAAGTTTAGATGGATGGATGTTTATTAGAGTTTGTAGCATAAACTGCTGAACAGATCTCGATGAAATTTGGTATAGATGTAAAGAAGTAGAGTAGCCTGGAAGAACACTTAGGCTACTTTTTTTTTAATTCGCACGGATAGAGTCGCAGGCGGTAGTAACATATTTGTCATTTCCAGTTGCGTGAAACAGACGAGCACTTGAACCGTTCGTCTCGTTTGATGAATACAATGATAGTGCGCGCGCTGCAGGACAGGTTCGCGCTGGTGATGGTGCTGCTGGTGACGGGCGCACTGCTCTGTGCCGCGCTATACTTCTACGTCACCTAGCGCCATGTCCACACTGTACGAGTCGTACAGTGGCCGTACTATTTGTACATCGCGTGCAAGAAACTGCTCTGCTTCGGGTTTCGATTATACGTATTGAAGCATATCCTCGCAGCTTTTCTATACTGCAAGTATAAACTCTTCAACGGATGCTGTAGGATGTGAAACGAGAACTTTTGACGTGTGTGAACTAGTGTTGCAAGTTTTGGCAATTTTATTGTCTATGGCGATTACAGCGCCACGTAACTTACGGGATTGTGGTTAAACACTAATTTTCTATATAAATGTGTAAGTTGGCTTATTGTAATGCAAAAGTATGTTTAAACCGATTGTTTCCAGTGACGAAGAACTTATTAAAAAAATATTTCATTCATATATACACATTTCGTATCTTGTAATTACTGCAAAAGTCAGTTTTTTTGTTCCAAAAAACTACGTTGAATTAATGATAATTTGTTCAATCTAGAATATTATATAGTGAATAGTAAAGAAACATAATGAGAGAAAGAGATGGATGTATACCTTTCACGCAATACATCCATCTCTTTCTCTCATGATGAAGAAGGGTGTGACAGATGATGTATGATAGAGTTATTTGGAGGACGGAAAGCCGGTGCGCCCTACGGGAATAGGATAAGGCAGGGGACATGATGTAATCCACATAATTTCACATGTATCCGATTTTTATTAATTCAAATTGCATTAAATTTGTAATCTTGCATTTAGATATTATGCTGTTAATATTATAGTTTCATGATAAGGTTCTAAATTATTACTATACCAAATCTATTTTATGCTTTTGTATAAGATATTGTATATGCCTTTAGAATGTCACATTCAGATATAAATGTAGAAAATGGCACATCTAAAAGATATTAAGATAATATGAGAATATTACGTTCTTCTGATGTTCTTTGGAATATTATCTTGCATAAAATATGACATAGACAAATAAGTAGTTAACAAGTGGAAGTGTTGAAATAATTTTAATTATACAGGGTGATTCCTAATGGATGGATTAACAGCTTTGTAGAGTTTAAAAACCCTTAATAGCTATTGTTTAAGTGCAAAGTATGTTGCCTGATTTTCCATAGTTTTAGTTATTTAATTATTTCACAAAATCGTTAATCCATCTGTTAGTATCATCCTGTATACACCTATATATTGTAAATATGTACTTTCGTCTTACATGTTACATTATAAATTATATTAGATGCTTTGAATTTCTGTATAAAATAAGGGAAATATCTACAAATATGATAATTTAGAGGCTATAATGAATTTTATAACTTTTTCATCTATGGATATCTTAAAAATTGGATTAAGTAGTTTGAAAATGTAATTTGACTGTTAACGTTGTAGTGTAGTATTTATTACATAGATATAAGAAATTATTGGTATGTTTACTTAGATCTTGGTTCCAAACATATTTTGTGTCAACTTAAGTTTTTTTCCTTCTCCAATGGATAGTCTCTTTTATTTATTATAAATTGGATGATAATTATGTTGACTAATGAATTAAAGTAAGGTTAGTTTTTAATTTATCTATGGACCACTTTCTGTATCTGTGTTATTTTCTCTATGGAAATTAGTGATATGTAACTGTTAGTATACTATTAGTTAAATCAAAACGATTTGTTTTAAAAGCTTTAAAAACCTCACTTCAAAAAATTAACATATATTGCAAAATAAATACCATGTTAAAATATATTGCTTTGTGTAATTTAAATGACTTTCAAATCAATGTTTTCACTTTGCACTGTAGTTGTTTTTTCACAACGCTGAGAATAGATTTAAATAAAATGTACTTTGTGCGGGAATCTCGATACATAAATGTTATATTGACAGTCTAAAAACGTAATCATTACTATTTGTTGATTAAAAAGAAATAAAAAAAAACGTCTAGACGAATTGAGTACCTCCTTCTTTTGGGAAGTCGGTCAAAAATACAAAAGCCGAATCGCAAACATTAGTCGTCAAAATTAAAACGCTGTTACAATGAAATTTACATACATACGTGCGAATATTTGCATTTGTTTCGAGATCTCTGCGTTAGAGGTTATGAGGATTTGAATGTTGGATGTTGAGACTGTTTAGATAGATAGTGAAATATTTAGATAGACGGCATTCGATGGACGCTTCAATGGACAAATAAATTATGTGATTCAATCGTTGTTTTTATTTCTACCTACTCCTTGTCGTCACAGATATCAAAAACGGTGGTAGAGCCCGCTGTAACATTCTTGAACGCAATACTACGACCACACAAAAGACATACTGAAAGAGGGATCACTCCCGCGTGCAGTCTGATTGATGTGGTTTCGGATGCCTGATTTTAGTCCCTTTTTATTTCTACCCTTTTCTTATAAGGAAAGGATGGGATGAAAAAATGGATTTGATGGCGGAGGGGACGCATAGGAAGGGGAAATATCCTGTTTATGTGCGTCTCCTCCATGAATTAAGGGTAGGCAACGCATCTGCAATTGCGATGGGCAGCGGTCGCTTCAGTGGTCGCTTGCTCGTTTGCTACCTTATAATATAATAGAAAGTGTATTGTCACTGATTTCTATAAATGGATAGGTACGCCAGATCCCTCTTTTATATTAAAAGTTGATCAACGAGCAAGCTATATACGACATAACTTAATAGCTTGTATACGTACGCGCCTTATAATTAATAAAAATCATACTAATATTATAAATGTGAAAGTTTAGATGGATGGATGTTTGTTGGAGTTTTTTTAATTCCACGCGGACGGCGTCGAGGCGAAAGCTAGTATAACCATAAATGTAACGGAAATGTATGAAATCCGTACATTGTCGACATCCGAGGCGACGAGTAAACTCCTAAAATACTTTAGAAATAGGGAATAAAAATGAAACGAATACATTATGAAACGATTTATATATTATTTATACACACAAATTCGCAAAAAAATAAACACAATCATCAACAATGACTTGGAAATATCAATTACTTTAAAATGAATAAAAGGGATTGGCAGTTTTATATAAAACGATTGTATCACTCATATAACTAATTAATATCCAATGTACCGATTTTAAACATATTTACATATTAAAAAAATCAAATGTTATGTCTTGGAGAGGTGTTGCTTTCGGTTTTTATTGTGAAAATATATAAAAACCTACATGTACATACAAAATTGGATAAAAACAGGGCACTTTGCTGTCTTTACACTTATTTAAGGATTTTAAGTAACAACTTGTCGGTCTAAAGTCAAAGAATAACAGAATTATTAGAAAACTACAAAAAAATTAAACATCTACCCAAGTTAATGTAAATCTATATTTTCTAAAACTTACAGAAAACATTACAATCGTTCATACTTTAAAAATATACAAACAGTGATATTTTCATACAAATATTGTGAGAAATATTACACAGACACTTATTTAATTTTAAAATTTAAACCGTTTAAAAATCCTGTCATAAACAATATACATTACATACATAAAACACAATATATCTTTATATATAAGAAAGTTGTGTTAGTTACATTATAACTCAAGAATGGCTTTACCGATATCGCTGAAAATTGGTGAGGAGGCAACTTAGAGCCAGGAGACGGACATGGGATACTATTTATTCCGTTCGACTCTCTTTTTGACCAACTTCCCAAAAGAAGGAGGTATTCAATTCGTCGATATGTTTTTTATGTGTGTTACGGCATAACTCCGCCGCTAGTGGACCGATTGGATAATTTTTTTTTTATCCGAAAGGTAATGCTTGCAGGTGGGTCCCATTTTTTTGTTTAATTTTTGGAGTCTAAGACTACGACGTAGTTAAATAGTTTTTTAATCCCACGCGGACGGAGTCGCGGGCGAAAGCTAGTTTATATAATTTACAATACAAGGTTAAAAGGTTGCAAATATCTAGACCGTTGGGGAACAGTACAAAACAATTTCTATACATTACCTCTCTTCCCAGTCCTCCTTTCTTATTTCCCTATTAGAATGTAGTAAGAGTAGGGGTGTGAATATTATCCATTAGTAACATATATCACAATATCCATACATAATGTATTTATGTGAGGTTGGCTTCCTGTACCTCCGGAGTGTCATCTTCAATTTTCTCTCCCAACGACACGAGCCGTGCTTTGTATTCATTTACTTTAATATCCTGTGATACAAAATATTATATAATATTATTATTGCGAATTTGTATGGATGAATATTACTGATTTCCAAAATAACCCAACAGATCTCTATGAAATTTGTCTACACTATCATACTAATATTATAAATGCGAAAGTTTAGATGGATGGATGTTTGTTAGAATTTGTAGCCTAAATTGCTGAACGGATTTCGATGAAATTTGGTATGGATGTAGAGGATAGTCTGGAAGAACACATAGGCTACTCACTGTTGTTTTTTTTAATTCCACGCGAACGGAGTCGCGGGCGAAAGCTAGTACTAAAATAAAGAGGAAAGATTTGTATTTTTGTATGTATTGAAATAACTCGAAAATTACTGGGCCGATCTTAAAATTCTTTTGCCGTTATAAAGGTAATTTATCTATGAGTAACAAAGGCTGTTTTTTTTTTAACTTCACGCGGGCGAAGTCGCAGGCAATCACAGATACAGAAGATAGTCTCTAAGTCGTAGTCTAACATTTTAGTCAATTTTATTATGAAAAGTTGTTCGCCATTTATGGTGTTTCCCGTTGGACCGATCGGCCTACTAATCGATTAATCCAATGGGAATTTTAATTTTTGTCCATTAAGTCGATTAAATAGCATGGATTCGATAAGTCCAATGGGAAAAGTACCATTGGATTAAATTTTGAAAATTGAAGGCCCGATTGGTCCAACGGGAAACACCATAAACAGCGGACAGCACTAATCTGTAAAACACTTACCAGATCCGAAAGCAGTATTAGTAGATCATCTTGATCGTTCTTTAATTTCTCTAACTCTACTTCTTGGTTCTTCTTCTCTTCTTGTGTGGTTTCTAATAGATTATTCAGTCTGCTTATTTCTGCGGTTAGTTGGTTTATTCTATCCTCGTGCGGGTTGTGTTCGTGTGTCGGCTGTATGGACGAGCTTTGTGCGGAAACTTGCGCTTTTAGTAAAGTATTCTCATCTTTTAGAAGGGAATTTGACGATTGCGACTCGTTTAATGCCACCTGAAAAAGATATTTTCAAATAGTACAAAATTCATATTAAAATACTATCAGGCAATCTTGAGACATATTTCCTTAAGATGGTTACATAACAGAAAGTAAAATAATTATAGAAAATTCGTATTGTAAATGTGAAAGATTGGATGGATGTTTGTAATACATGTTAGACTTGACATATGCGCATTATTTCGAACATTACAGTGTGTTAGAATTTGTAGCTAAATCCGCTGAACATACCAATGAAATTCAGCATAGATTGAGGATCGTTCAAGCAAAAAATCACTGTATTTAGTTACCTGTAGCGCATGGTTCTGCTGCAGCATATCATCCAGCTGCGCCACCAGCTCCTGCAGCCGGGCGTCCTGCTGCCGGATCAGCGCCTTGTACTGCGCCAGCGCCCCCCCGCCCCCCGCCGCCTCCTCGCCCGCGCCCGCCCCCGCCCCCGCCTCCGCCACCTCCTCCTTCACCACCAGGCTCTGCACCACCACACCTGCAACACGTAACAATAACAATTACAAAACTAATTGTAAACACTTAAAAGCTAGTATTTAAATACAATCTCAATATTCGATAATAAATCAGCTGTTGTAGAAATACTACTTACTTTCCAGTACTTTAAAGAGCCTGCAGAACTCGTAATCGATGAGCACTTCCGCGGGCGCCTTCGCCCTCAGCTGCGGGTGCTTCGCCGCCTTGTTGTAGAGCTCGTGGCGCGACACCTCGGCCAGCTTGCCCACGAAGGTGTCCATGCCGACGCGGCGCACCACCAGCTGCTTCAGCGCCTCGCGCGTGTAGCCCTCCACCGAGTCCTCGTTGAAGTGGATGCAGATCGCCAGCAGGAACGCCGATAGACCTAATTTATATACGCCTTTATTAAACTGTAAAGGGCAATTTAATCTACACTAATAAAGCACTTTTTTGCTATGTTGGACGTCAGCCGTTATTCTTTTTTAATAGCACTACACGTACTATTTAATTTAATGAAGAAATTATAAAGTCATGCGAAGAAAGAACGAGAACTACAGACCTAGCAGCAGAGTAAAATTGCTATGTTTACGGTTAGCTAATGGCAAAAGGCCTTTTTGTTTCCATTTAATTTTTTTAAATTTGCATTTTAAACTTTTACACATGTAAACAATAAAAATGTTTTGTAATCGCGATATCTTACTAATATAAATGCGGAAATTGAGATGGATATCATAGTTTGAGCGCATAAGTTACTTAAGCATTCTTTTAATCTTACGCGGATGGAGTCACTGTCGACAGCTAGAAAAGGGTATAAAACATTGGTTCTTCGAGTCGGATACACAGTGGTCATGTATGGAGGGGGAGGGGGCGTTGAGGGTACCTTGCAGCAGGTACTCGTTGTCGTCGTGGTCGTTGCAGCAGGCCTGGTTGACGAGGTAGGCGACGGCGCCGGGCGCGCGCAGCACCGCGCTCACGGCCGCGCCGCAGCGCGCCGCCCACTGGCTCAGCAGCATCAGCAGCGCCACCTCACGCACAACACAACACGTGCACACACTACATTTACATCGAAACAATGAAGGAAAAATAGATATCCAACGTAAAAATCTTACTAATATTATAAAAGATGCGTTTTTTGTAAGAGAATGGGATAAACGAGCGACAGAAACCCAAAGTACTCAATCGCGACCATTGACACTTGAGAAATTACAAATGCGTTGCCGGCCTTTAAAGTTGATTCAACGAATTTCGATATAATTTGGCAAAGATACGGAACACATATGAAAAAAATACATAGGCTACTTAATACGTTCTTTTAACACCGATCTTGTGTGACCGCTAGTTCAACAATTAAAAGCATTTCAATAAGAGTAAGCAATCAAAACGACAATTGGATAAAGTTAATTAGATAATTATTCATTTAAGTCAATAAGATACATGATTTTTTAAGTTAAACTTAAGAAAAAACAGATATCCATAATTACAAGTTAAACCTTAACTAATCTTACCTTTGACTGCAATTTCGTCGTCTGCTGCAACAACAGTGTACACTGATGTAACAACGAGACGGGAGTACTTCCAATATTAGTTGCCAACAACACTCGCAGCAATTGCTCCTTTTGTATAGGATTCTCTATCAATGCATGCATCAGAGCTACCGCTGAGAACCAATTTGATAGCACATCAGAGGAGAAGAGACCTCCACAGAGTAATTGACCGCTTGTTAGATTTGATACATCAGTGGAAGATGGTAGGAGTGTCTGAACTAGGTTCCCTTGACTAGTCTCATTGTGATATAGGTAGCATTGGAAACAATATAGAACTGCACATCTGTAAAATAAGTATTAATTCTCATGGTTATCGTAAGTAATTATAAGTATTTTTCCCTTTGGAGTATCTAACATCAACAGTGGTAGAGCCCGCTTTAACATCTTCGCACAAATGGGTTGGCTCGCCCAGTGTAATACCACGACCACACAGAAAACAAGCGTGAAGTGGAAGCAATTCCGCGTACAGTGATGAGTGTGTTGTCGGAGGCCTAATTTTAGTCGCTTACTTTCCACCCTTTTCTTAACAGGAAAGGATGGGAAGAAAAAGTGGATCTGACGGTGAAGGAGACGCATAGGACGAGGGAGGAAATGTCCTCTTTATGTGCGTCTCCTCCTCCGTCAATTAGGGCAGGCATCGCATTTGCAATTGCGGATGTTTATGGGCAGCGGTCGCTTCACATTTCGGTGCATTCAGGTGGCCGCTTGCTCGTTTGCCAACTTACATTATAAAAAAAAATCTGAGTTTTTTTTATTAATTGAACGAATATTATTAATTAATCATTAATTTTATTAATAAATAAATATATTATGAAGTAAGCATTAATTTATAAGTGCAATTAAAAAAAAACTAGTTTTTTATTTCCATTGTTTCAGCCTTAGTCATCAATAAAAAATGTGCAATAAAAAATCATTACTAAACTATTAGCTAATATTTTTTTTTTACCTTAAAGAGAATGGCTGCTTCTCATTGACCATAGACATCAGTAACACTACTATAGCAGGCCGCGGCGGATTTGAAGGCGCCATTACATTACCAACAAATTCTTGGTTTACAATATTCCCTCTGACAACTTCTCCGACTGTATTTATTGTCTCCGTTAGTATATCAGCTGGTACACCACTTGCCATTAATATATTACACAGAGAATCCAATAATCCTGCATTCTTTAATATTCTTTGACAATCAGAGACTATCTGTACTGAGTTACTCGGTGATACCAATGTACGGACTATATGGAGCATGCAGTGAACATTTGAGACCTTCTGCGGTGACCACCCTGCATCCTCATTCTCCTCCGGTGTGTTAAACATCGGCAGCATCCGTTGAATATAACTTCCCTCTTTGAAGAAATTTATATTACTATTGTTGTTCTTTAATAAATTTAACATCAATAATAAACAATCTTCAACAATAATTCCACCGTCAGAGAATCCTTCACTTGACACTATTTCGAATAATCTGTCAAATGCATTTTCAAATGCGACAATCTTTTGTATATTCGCATTACCTTTTGTTAGTTTTATTAATAGAAGTAATGTTTCATTTCGTATAACCTCTCGATTGTCACTTAGAAGATCCATCATTTTAGACACACCCATCGGTTTAACGAGAATTATTTCTTGCATATCTTTCGGTCTATTCGTTAACAAAGACGTTAGCAACTGCACTGCGGACAGTCTCACTCTGAAGTCATACTCGTCAAGTAAATCTAGAATTAATTGTACATTATTATGATCCTTTATAAACATTTCCGAGAACTGCTCTCCGATATTCATTGGTACTTGAGGATTATCTTCTTCCTCTTCGAATTGTGACGGCGACATAACGTTATTTAAAGTATTAAGAGCATGATTTATTGTTTCACTGTCAGCACGATCTAATTCTAAAACCTAGAAAAACCACAATTTCACTATAATTTAGAAAAGCATTTTAGAATAACATTATTACTTCTATGCATATAATAAAAATTTATGTTTTTGTGTCTTTTAACACAATCCGTATTCTAGATTTGTCTATTGTCCACAAGTCTATACTTGTTAAGGATAATATGCTAAACAGATGCACTGTTTTATGATACTGTTATTTCAGTTTTACTTTTACTGACAATGTCATGTCATACTTGTGAATGGTAAATTCATGGTGTTTGGTGTAGGAACTATCTTATTATCAGTATTCATGTATCATTAAATTTATTAAGAAATGAAACAAATGTGAACCTGCTTTAATGTCTCCATCCCCTGAGCTCCCACCTCTACTCTGTATGTCCTGGACATAGCCTTCAATGCTCTGCATGCATCTCTGCGATCTTCCAATAGTGTTGAATTATTGACTCTCTCCACCAATCGCTCTACCTAGAGTGATAAGAAATATTTTACTAAATTATAATTAATTTTCAGATTAAAAAGGATTTTGAAATGTTGATGTTGGACTAGCAATTTTGTCAATTTCATATTATTTATATAACCACTAGGTATGATAAATATATTGTTGTTATAGTTCTAGTGTTAAATTTCAAATTCCCTGTGCGAAATACGAGCTTGCCTTAAATTAAATAAAAATAACTTCAAGTTTAATCTACATGTTAGAAATTGTTAAATGTCTACCTCATTATAACAGAATAGTAAAATCATTTTGTATAATATCAAGTAGTATTTAAACAGTTATTAATTTACACATTGTTAACAGCGATATCATAATATTTTTGCAATTTCAGACTGAATGTAATATGAGCGAAAACATAAATATTGTCAGACGTGTAAACTATTATAACAGCCATATTATGAGCTCAGCTTGTACCACGCCCACGCAAATGTAGAAAATATAACTTTATACCGCTGGCGTCAATTATAAATAGTTTTTATCAATATTACTTCACTAAAATAAATACGAATGTTACCGTTTCAGCGCCTGAAGGATGATGGCCAGGTTCCGGCGCACCAAGAACGGTCTTCAGACCGCTCTTCAGAAAATCCATTCTGTTAGAAAATATCGGAAAATTTCCTTTGATGTTAATTAACTTTATTAGTTAGAAAATCATCACTATTTTACACAAAAATTAACAAATTATGAGAGAAAGACACGTCAAAGCAACTAATTCCAACACTTGACTTTGACAGACCACAGAGTAGAGAAAAAATATTTTTCTCTTCTTGAATCCCTTGGGTAAATTGTAATTTGAGTGGAAGAAAGTGGCAAATTTCAGTTTTTCTGATGCTGCATTATTTTATGCTTTATATTTCACGTTGATTTTGTTTTCTTGAATATTATTAAGTTAAAAGGCAACAAATACTTTATCTATTTTGTTTGTATCTGTAATTGTTCTTGACATTTGACACACGAACTGTCATCTGTCTGTCATTTTATTTTATAAAAGATACTTTTTATTGTTTACTTATTAATTTTCGTTATACCAGCTTAATTATAGAGAATTAACTGAATTAAGATTGAACAACTAAACATTTGTTACTCATTATGTCGACTGACCTTAATGCAAGTTTCGACGAGCAGTATGTCAACATAAACACAAAGTTGAAAAAGTTGGTGTTTCATGTCGCTTCGGTATTCTAAATCCAGTAGTTTAGAATGAATAGTTGATGATAATCATGTTTTAGGAGGTTTATGCGTAAACCAAATGTATCTGAAGCTACAAACGAGTTCATAGGATTAGCAATACAATGTGAACATTCGGAGCAGCCTTCTTTCGCTGGTCAAACGTACATTGGAGCAGCGAAATGTGAGGCTTTGGCTGGGAATCATTTGGGAGAAGCGGAACAGTATCTTGCTGCAGCCCGACAGTTTATTAAAGCTGAAGCCAAAATTTTAGCTTTGAAATTTGATAGCCCAGATAGAGAGAATTTAGAGGTTATCTCAATGTATTGGTTTAAATAATATAATTCTCTCTGCATAAATATTTTTGATAGTGTAGTTTGCTAACACAGAGTGTAAATATGTTACCAAAGATGTTTTTTCATTTTTTTTATGCTTAATTGTAATTCCAGGCAGCAATAGGTTGCTACTTGCAAGCATTAAGCAAGTATCCAGACAAGTCGCCGATACGAACCTCAATACTAATGGAGCTTGCCAACAATTTAGTCTCTTTGAACCACAAATTAGAAGCAGTGACGTATTACGAAGAAGCTTTGGAGATAATAGATGAAAGTACTATGAAACTAATGTACATGAGAAATTTACTCAACTTGCTTATTGATTGTGGTATGGTGTATTACATTTAACTTAATGGCATTAAAAAAATATATATTTCTTTTTACCCAAGAATTTAAATTAAAGAAGTTTAAGTGCAAAAAGCACATGGATGTCTTTCAAACAACCTTTTGATGACTGATTTTCAAAGGCTGAAAATTTATATGGATATACACAGACAGATATCTTGTTGCCCTCCCTATAAATATGCAATTGTCGACATTCTGTCATCAAAAGACATTCAAAAGACGTCTGTGTGTTTTAGCACTTAATTATAATGCTAGTAAATTCTAATGGTCATAATTTCGTATCATAGAGGCTTTTCAAATGTCTTGCAAAACCAAGGTCTTAACATGCTGTTTAGTGCCCTCTCCTCATATACCACTACACCTCAATTTCTATTCTCTGCAACCACTGTTAAGATTGACTAAAACATATGTAAACTATAAAAGCTTCTTTATTTTGTGAATTATATAACAATGTTATATATTTATAGGTAAATATGACAATGCTTTGCAATTAGCTAACACAATATTTGATTCTAATAAGAATATTCCTGATGGAATTTTAACTGAGTAAGTACTTACTAAGCATAAAAATTCAATTCCTATTGTATTCGAATGTGTGAATAATATACAGTATTGTGTTTTTTTTTTAGAATTCAAGTAAGTAGAGTGTTGTTGACATTACTTGTTAAACCAGATGATGAAAGTAAGACGGAATCCCTCAAAGCATTGTTTGATGACCTGATGAATGATGTGGAGAGTGAAGGTAGATTTAACTTGTGTTTTATTTTATTTTCATAATATAAATACAAAATTTACATGGGTGTGTATAAAGTTAATAGCTGAATCAATTTTGTAATTGTTATATTTTTGTTCCAGCAATACCATTTAATATAAATTTGAAGCTGAAATTACAATCTATTATTATCAGCTGTACTGTGGGAGATCTCCAGTCATTGATAAGTGTAGCACCGGACACTAAGCCATATCTGACAACACAACAAACAGAATTGTTGCAGGCGTTGTATAGTGAAGAGAAAGATGACAATTTTGTTCACAGCTGAATTTTAAATTGTAATTGCTTTTATGGATCTCATTTAATCTTTAAGTTATCTCAATGAACAATTCTAGACTTGATAGCACTGAACAATTGTTTTTTAAAACAATCTTCAGCTTTAAAATATATTTTGCTATATATGTTGTGTTATAAAAAAACAGTTATCAAATTCATCTGCACTTTATTAACACTTGTCCACAATTTTTTTGTCTTTTTTTTCTTCCTCCTTTATGAAAGAATAAAAATTCATGCCATAAATATATTTATGCCGCAATAAAGTTAAAATGGTATACAAATACTTTTATTTTTAAGACTTTTTATCAATGAAACCACTACTTATATCCCCAACCTTTTTAGGTATGGCAACATCTATGACATTGCCAAAACTTACTTTCTTGTCTATGATTGTTTCTGAACTGCTTTCAGAGACAGGCATTTGTACTTCATTGCCAAAGTTAGCTGCTGCATCAACAGGTTTATTCTGAATAGAATGTGTCCACATTTCCTCAAATTCATCTTCATCACTGTCAACAATATCTTCTTTAGGCTGTTTCACTTCGCTAGTTTTCTGCCAGCAATATTCAAATGGATAGCTGACATTTCTATTGTCGTCCGGAGCAATCTCGAATCGTGAAGACAAGGCATTGTATGTTGTATGCACTCCCTCTAATAAGTTAACATCCACTTCGTCAAATCCAGTTATGCTCTTAAAGAGTTCATCGGCTGACTTCATGTTTGGTACACCTTTCTTCTCAAAGAACTGAAAAAGAAACAAAATATGAATATTTTTAAAACACAAGTACTTCTGTTAATATTGAATATTTCTACTTGTATAATAAAAATACTTACATTAATAATATTCCTGCAGTCTCTCAGCAGGAACTCCAGACCATTAGGATGATCAGGTTGCACTGACTGGGAAACATCAATAAACCAGCATTTGTTCTCCCACCAGAGAATGTTGTATTCAGATAAATCAGCATGAACTAAGTGCCCCACATTATATAGCTTGTACATAGCATCTACAATCTCATTGTAGACACTCTCCCATTTCTCAGGCTTCAGTATAACATCTCTCAGCTTCGGTGCTGGCTTGTTGTCTCTCCCAATGAAAGACATCACCAAAATATGCTTCTTCAGGCACACCATGTCAGGACAGTTCAAGCCAATCTTCTGCATACGCATCATGTTGTGCATCTCCTTCTCAGCCCACATGTGCACTATCTTACGAGGATTCTGCTTAGAGAAGCGATCTTTAAACCTATAGTCAGCTTCAATATATTTATCTCTAGTTTTAAACTCATTCAGTGTAGTCTTAAATACCTTTATTGCACATTCTTTAGGGACTGTCAAGTCGGGGAATGACTGATCTCCATTGGCATGCAACACAACAGACTCTTTGCCAGTAGATATAACTCCATTAATATCTTCTAACATTCCATTGTTGATCATCTTAAACAAGATAAGTCTGGTCGGTTCATCCAGACCCATTTCAGCGGTAGCATGGCTCTCTTTTCTATCCAGCAGCTTATGTTTCTTTTGGTTGCATTTTGTATGTTCCTTAAGTTGATTGAACACAGAATTGGGCAATTTCATGTCGAATCCAGCACCATCTCCAGTGCACACATCAGGAGGAAAGGCCATAATACGACAAGCATTTCTTCTCCCGTTAATAACACTGTCGTGTTTAGTCACCATTTCACCGTCTTTCATAATAAAACCTCTTTTCGGAAGACTCGCGTATTCTTTCTCATTGGTTTCGAAACGATCCCAGTCTTTCTTACCTATTCGCTCCACATCATCGTCCGAATCAGAATCATATACTAAATGATCGGGAATGTTACGGTAATTATTATAAGACACTGATACCTTTGCATCCCCGTTCTTCTTCTTTTCTACTCTCTTTACCTCATCGTCGTATTCTTTGTCAAATTGACATTGCAAAACTTTCGCAATAATTGCGTCTGAGTCGCAATAATCCTTCACATTACATTCAGCAATATGCTGTAAAATTTCAGGAGGTAAATCGTTTGATTCTGTAACTATATGCTGATCCGATACCTGTTCTGCGAATTTTATCTCTTCTTTTACTTGAAGTCCTCTTGCATACTCCTCTGACATAATATCCGAAAGATTTTGTGCATCGACTGGTGCTTGAACTTTCTTCCAGGGATTCGACATTTTGTATTAAATAAAAGATATCACAGTTCTTGTAATTTTAAAATAATAAATAACTTATTGGATATATAAAAACTTAATTTCTAATTTCCTAATGAGAAAATATTTCACAATGTTGCTCGTCAACAGTGATTACTCAATTTATACAAACAGTGCAGTGTTACCAACATTCAATTTAATTTCCTGTTTTACCTCGATTTTAAAACCTAATCGAAATCGTCACAGTAGTTATGTCAAAATCTTCGTAAAATAAAGATACGAATATTACACATTCTTCGAAAAATAACAGTAAATTCCTTTTTAAAACAATTGTTTTTGTGTTAATGACTTAGCAATTCTTAAAATATTTTCGGCAAAAATCGTAAAGGTGGTAACCCTTTTCACGGACAAAAAGAAAAATATGATCCTCTTTTTCACTAACGTGACGGACCTTCCTCATGTGCAGCAAACTTATATAAAAAACTCATTGTAATAAATTCCGTGGAGGTAGATTCAGCAACATAAGTTACTAAAATCCACGCAGTTATGTAATAACATAGTAATACACTGTTGTTCTATCGTGTATGAAGGGGCTCTAATGCGCGGTTCACACCTGGCCAGTAGTTTGTCAAGTCACTTGCCTGTAAATTACAGGCTGTAATACTATTCCAGTAGCAGATATTGTCGTTTTGTAAGGATTGGAAAAGGGGACCTAGCAATCCATTGGTACACTCTAAAATCTTATATTCTCAGACATTTTTTGTCTGCATTAAAAAATACTGGAATGTCTTAATCTCACATGATACATCTATTATAAATATTAACAGATTATTATAAAGGTATTCTATAGTAAAAGAAAACAAGTATTTTTTTGTTGTAATTTATTTACATACTAGTTCACTTCGCAGCTTTCCTGCCAGCCTTTGCACTGGCCTGTTGAGCTTTGAGAACCTTTACAATCTTCTGTTCTTCAATAAGGAAAGCTCGGACAATCCGTTGTTTAACACACTTGTGGCAGAGGACACCTCCATATACACGTTTCACTGTCTTCTTACGATAGCAGAGGCGTGAGCGCTCAGCAGGCCTGGCCGGCTGGATACCTCTGAGCTTGCTCTTGCACTGGCCACATCTCGGGATCTTCTTGGGCTTCTTAACATACTGATACACTAGGCGACCACCAGGAGTTCGGACTCTGAAATTAACATTTTAAACAATATTTTTATTTTACTTAACCTCTCTTATTTACAACATAAAGTTCTATAACAAGTGTATAATTTGGCAAAGATTTACATCAGTCTTTTATTATTATCTATGTATAAACAATCAGTACAATAATAATTAAGCAAAGATTTGCTATACAGCTTAATTTTTTGTCAAAATCACATTCACATTAGTATGAACATCTGAAACAATTCTAATAGGGTGAATTACACAAACTAATTTCGCTATAGATTGAACTAGACTGCCAAAGTTCTTGGTTAAGTTTATCTATATTAAATACTACAATTTTAGCCATGTTTTTAATCATGCTAAGAGTCACTATAAGCTTTTAAATACTTGTAAATATTTCAATATCATAATGAACAAGCAATGCTAACCATTCCAAATAATGGTTAGCAGGGATAACTTTTAAAATTTGAGGATGAACACCGATCCATTTGTCTACGACTTTATCTGTTATTTTTATGGTTAATATTTATACAATTCGCTTATTTTTATGTATGAATGAAGAAGAAATTGTTAGCATATTTAATGGTATAAAAACATTGAGATGTTACTAAAGCCGCAACTGAGAGGTTATGTTTGGAAAACATTTCTAACTTTTTGTATTTTACTCACTATAAAATAAACATTACCAAAATACGCAAGAGAACATTAAATTAGTCTTTTAAACAATCAAATAAAGAATTCAACTCACATTCTCCTTTGGTTTGACTTGGTATTGTACGACAAACGTCGCCTAAAAGTAAGACGTTGTACCATTGTTCAGCTGAAATATAAAGAAGTAATGAATAACAGAGATATTTCACTTCATTTATCACTCGTTCCAATTTTCTTTAAATAAATTTCATTAAGATTATTTTCGATTTACTAAAACACGAAATAAAACCCTACCCTTTTGACAGCTGTTGACACAAAAAGAACTCGAAAACAATGCCGGGCCTGGCAACATTAAAATTTGTCACAGAGTATATTAGGAAAAAATATTAAGACTTTTTCTCCATTTATTTTTCTAAGTTGTTCATCATTTTAGAAATAAGGGGGAATATGATTTCCTACAAAATTATAATTATCTAGGTTTAAAAAAGCCTTGTTTTTAAAAATGTGTGACATTAAAAAGGTAAGATATAAGTAACCAGAAAGTTTTAAGATTGAATGTGGGTGGCTACAAAAGTAGAGAAAGACCGAAGAAAGTATGGATGAATTGTGTGATAATGAATATGCCTAAAAAAGAAGTGGTTTCAGATATTATGGCTGATAGAGATGGAGATGCATGGAAGAGCAGCACATACTGTGCTGACCTCTCCTTAAGGTATACGGGCAAATGGATGATGATTAAAAAGCTAAGATATCTTTATAATAGTTGAAACAATTTCTTTTCTAATATTTAAACGCGTAACTATTTTTGTATGATTTCTAAAATTCAATACATCTACTTTTCTGTAACAAAATGGGACCATTTGGTTTTGATAAGAGATCATTTTTTTTGAATCTGGCAATACTAAAATAGTAATATGGCTGCCACTGTGTAATGTTTATGGTGTTTTGTGTGTAAATTTGCATTATCGTGTTTTTAGCGAACTTTACATGAAATGGGTAAGCATACTATATATTACAATTGTAAAACTTGAGGTTTTACATTCATTTTAATCGTGTTTAGCTATTTTATTTGATTATAAGTAATACATTGATAATAGGCTTATTGTATATCATTTGACTCAGATTTTGCCTAAGTTAGAAGATGTTTTCGGTAGCTTAGTATTAAACAATTAATTGCAATTTCTTAGTACCCGTTTATTTACTAATAAATTCACAATGTGACAATATCATCAGAGTTATATTTTTTGATCAGAAACTATTTTATAAGTAAATATTACGGAAATTTACATCAGTTTTAAATAATCATACATATGTTACAGTAAATCAACGTAAATCTATTGTACAGTTGCTTTAGAAGCCTCTAAAATAAACATACTGTCCAGTGGATTTTATTTTGATGAATTTTCATAAGTTTAACGTATTTGTCAACAGATGGCATGCACCGCAAGTCATGTAAAAATTGTAACTAAAATTAGATTTGACCATCTGAAATCTTTCACTAAAAAAATAAGGTCAACACAATATTTAGGTTCCAGTGCTATAGATATACTATAGGTACTGAATAAGAATATGCAACCGTAATAGTACGAAAATGGGAGAAGCGATACACTCTTGAACCGAGACTGCGAAAAATTTAAACCTGTGATTCAGTCAGTATCTACCACAGTACACTAAGTTACCAGCATTATGCCTGAATCGCACCTGTACAATTGGACATTAGAACTCAATAACTGGACTGGCATTCAATTGTCATAATGTAGCACTAACTGACGCCAGTGAGTCCATACAATCCTTGTCATCCTTGCGCTTCTGTTCAACTATACTGACTCAGTGTGAACCAAGCATTACACGACTTAGTATTTTCATACCTCCTACATGTAATAGGTGCATATATCTTAGCTGAGTTGTCGAAAATCATTTGACAGTATTACCACTTCAACTACTGATAAATTATATTACTTTACAAATAAATGTCATTAGGTTTCGTTCGTTAGCTATTTGTCGTATCGAACAGAAAGTTTATCTAAAACTAAGGTAAAGCTCCAGTTTTGTGATTGTGTTAAAATTTTCAAGACGGATATGTCTCTTTAAGGAAGCTAAATAAATCCACAGACATAGTAGTTAAAAGCTGTTACGATAAATTGTTTCGTAAAAATCACAATTATCCTGATTGTAGGACAAACATTAAGTGATAAGAAAGCATATAAATGGACAATCTACTTATAATATGAAATCTTATAAGATCTAAAAAAAAACGGGTTCATTGTTGCTATAATCTGTTAGGAATTCTTTTCAAGTTAGATATGGTAAATGATCTTAGGATGTCGATATCGCTTGCTTACTATATTGGGCTATAAGAGTGTATCTACCGAGGTGTCAGAAATGAGCGGCTATAAAGCGCTTAAAGACGCTTACGTCGGCTGTAAGGACCCCACTCTTCTCCGAAACGTTCGACATTGAGATGGGTCATTTTATAATAACAATACTATAGGAGATGCTCAGGGCTGTCACATTTAAAAATTAAATTTTATTAAATATCACTTTGAATGTTAGAAATGATTTTTGAACTAATACATTTAGGTTCAAGATTCGATACTTGTATTTAGATCTCGATAAATAAGTCTTTAGTCGTCGAACGTATATTAGAGTAATTGTGTTCCGACTTCATATATGACGTTACATCCAATTTTAGAGGAGATCGTTACACAAGCTTTGATGAGGAATACGTTATTAATAGAAATGTTATAATAATTAGTAGTTTACTTCCGACGTACTAGTTGATTCATTGTGGTTTTTCAGTATACGAAAATCGCGTAACACCTGAATGGAAATTAATTTTGTGTTATGACTCAATTTTGCACTGTTCATTCAGTTGAATTTACGTTACTTTTTCCTCATGTTCTACATACAGAATCAGTGTTGCCTTGTGCTGATTTTTAATGGAACGATGTATATTGGCTTTTGATTTAATAATAGAAACCAGTTTTGATGCAAAAATTGGGGGGAATTTTAAATTGAATCTGCATTATCGACATTTACGTGAGTGCACGTTGTTTATAATCGTACGGTAAATGTCCTACGAGCCAATAAGGCATGGTATGCAATAATTATGAACGATTCACACATACGCTGCGACATTGTATATTTTTTCATTGACAACGCTCTCGGAATCTCGATGAAGTTATCGGTGCCATATTTGTCTCGATCTGTTGGCGAGCTGTGTTTTGTGTGTACCTAGCCTTATTCGATTTGCTCGCAAATCTCGCGTGGGAATCGTACTGGCGTATCCCTATCGGGAAAAAGTTGTTTACTTGTAAGTATAGAGACGGCTTGTAATAGCAGTGTAGGAAATAAGCAACTACTTGTGACGTAATTATAAGTATTAAGTGATAGCTAAGTAGAGTTGCGATGTTGTCCATCGTAATACAAGGTAATGTATTATTAGCAAGATATTTTTTATTACAATGTCTTACTATATAAAATACCTTTTAAAATTTAAAATAAACTGATCATATTGATATATTTTATCTGACAACCCTTGTACAATGTTGTTTTTCTTTTTTTGGAGTCGTCTCCGTGGCCCCAACACCTTGTGACAATAGCGCTCGACCCTCCGCCCTGTGCCCCCTCTCTCCGCCCTTTGCTAGCCGCCTTCGTCTTTGAAACACACTTCAAACTTGCTTTTCCTGCCCTAGGCCTTATAGAGGTGTTATATTTTTAAAGCTGTACACGGACTGTTTTAAATGGTCCCCAGTTGTTTATCATACACGAACCGAAAGTTCAATAGTTCCTTGTAAGATTTCTGTATGAATTCACAATCAGCTATCCAAAACTCCCAAGAATTGTCAATAATTTATTCGGTTATAAATCCAATATCACTCCTTACTAATATTTTAGATGTGAAAGTTGAGATGGATGACTGGATGTATGTGTGGCATAGACGTAGAACGTACTCTGAAATAATACATAGGATATTAAACCGTTTTTTTAATCCTCGAGGACGGAGTCGCAAGCGACAGCCAGTATTTTAATATATTCTAAGCTCCATAACTTAAGCCTACCATTTCGGGTAAGTCATTTGATACGCTAAAGAATGATTTCTCACTAAATGTCAAGATTTTTTTATCATTATTTATAAAACGACCGTTTCTAAATTTAATCCCACCTTCAGGGTTAAGCTTGACACATAACCGTGAATTTTTCCGTACCACGTGTATAGTAACATTATTGCTATCTCTGTTTTTTACTAAGATAATGAGGGAGATGGATATATGAGCTTGATATAAGATCTTGGCTACAATCGATAAAAAACATCATGAAGAGATGAGATCCGCATTATACCTTAATGCGTTGCGACTGTACCCGTGACGAATCCTTAGCCCGATGTAATGTAACCACTTCGAATACGATTCCCGGTACATGTACTATTATTGCGTTGAATATAAAAATTGGAAATAGATAAAGGGTCATGAAGATATACTATGGTGTAGGTAGAAATTACGAAAAATTTAATGTATTGTTTTACGATTAGTCTTTTTTTTTTATTTCGCTAGAGCTGGATTGGAATTTTTCGCTTTAACGATGCTTACGAACTAAGATAACTTTTTACTTTTGACATTATTGAATTTATGCTCTCAGTGTGGGAATAAACCTTTTCCTTATGGCTGCGTTTCGTGTATACGTGCTCGTGCTTGTCAGATACGATCTCCGATGTGAGGGTAGATTGAAAAACCGTGCTTTGTCCTCGTTGAGAGGCGGTAAGTGCATTTGTGGCGAAATCTTGATAGACGTAATTTGTATTGATCGTTATGCGTTAAAGGAATTTCGTGTAACACTATTACACCTATTGTTAACTTAAGGAGAGTCTTAGTTTAGATTTTGCCCGTTAAATCTAGTTTTAGGTGACTTTTACAGCTTCGTGAATACTGGATTGTATGAAATAAAATTGCACGAAAGTTCATGATATAATGTGCAGTGAACTGCAAGTGAACATAACGTAAAGTACGGTCTTGTCTAATACGGTTAGTTACGTCAGTATACGTTACGCGATCGTGCGTATATTTCGGCACGAATCGCGTTTGTTTACAAGTCAACGACCCCAATGTGAAAATACTAAGAACGTATTGTTGTTGGCGAAGGCGAGCTTACAATCTAGGGCGTTACCCCTCTAAAATGAGGCATTTGTTTTACAACAAAGCCCCGTTTAGATTGTAAGCAAAGTATCGCGTTCCGCTCGATTTCCTTACCAATTCGTTACATAGTTTGCGCGTTGTACGTTTACGCATAACTATGCTAAACAACGATGGAATCGACGCGTTGCGTGTTGATTATTTTCGATGATGATGTATT